GAAAGAGTCCCTTCCACCTCCCGGGGACTAGAAGGACTGGTTTTTCTGCATGCTAGCTGTCTCATCCTGACCTTCACCGAAGTTTTGCAAGGTTCCAATTCCCTACTACTTGCTATTCTGTGGGGTTATTGCAAAGTTTAAATGGAGTTTTGAAAGTACCCTGTAAACTATGAAATACAAGCCAGATGTCAGAGGCTGGTGTCTGCCCAGCCACCGAGCTGCGCTCGCAGGCAGAAAGGAGGCCCGAGCTCCCCAGTTTCAGTTTGGCTGGCAGGCTGGCGGGTGGCAGGCGTGAGGAGAGCCACCCACCAGCATCCACATCCCCAGCGAGGGAGCCCTCCTCCCAGCCCCGGAGGCCTGGCCTCCTCCCTGAGACTGGCACCCATGTGCTGAAGGGCAAAGTGTGAGTGTTAGGGTCTGGCTGGTGGGGGGCGAGGGGTGAACAGCAGCTTGAAGATATTTTCTGCAGGAAGCTCTGCTCTGCTTAGCTACTCCACCCTCCAGGGGCACCAGCTGCAGAGCACTCCCTTCTAGATGCCTGAAGCAGGCTTTTCCCTCCCGTCCCACAGGCTCCTCACACTTCACCTGGAGGGCCCAGGGTGATGGACGTGGGTGTCCTGGGTTGGGGAGAAGAGCTAGAAATGGAACGTGAGCAGCAGATCACGAAGCCCTGAAAGCAAGGGAGTGGGGAGGCCCTGTGAGGGCCTGGAAAACAGCACAGGTTCTGGGACCATCAAGTCCTCTGAGGGCTCCACCATCACTCGCTGTGTGAACGTGGGACAGGTACTTACCAGCCCTGTGACTCAGTTTCCTCAGTTATAAATAGAGACGAATCCCTACAGGGTTGTTGTGAGGATTAAACAAGATGATCCAAATAAAGCATCTGGCCCAGTGCCCAGCACAGGATTTGATGATGCTAGTGACAGAGCAGATGTACTGACTAGAAGAATATGCATAATATATTCCTAAGTAGAAAAAAGCCAAGTTGCAGAACAATAGTTATAGCTGCTCCGTCTAAAACAGTGGCCACGAGCCACAGGTGCCCATTGACATTTAATATATTTACATTAAAGCAAATTGAAAATTCAGTTCCTTCCACACTAGGAAGCCACATTTTAAGTACTCAGTAGGCACATGTGGCTTGTAGCAACCATACTGGACAGCACAGATCTAGAACATTTTCATCATCACAGAAAGTTCTGTTGGACAGCTCTGAGTAATACGAGCCCATTTTTGTAATTTAAAAAAAAACTGTGTCCACTTGCAAAAGCATGCAAAAATTTTTTGGAAGGGTACCATGCCCCTGCTCCAAAAGAATACAATGTGATCATGGAACGGCCTCATTTGCTGCAACTTCCCTGAGGTAGGATGGGGGCACTCGTGGGGAGCAGGAAGGGGTGCAGAGCCTAGAGTGGGAACCCCACCGCGGGCAGAGTGAGGCTAGCAGGCTGGGGGCGGCAGGACAGTGAGTCGGCACCTGCACAGAAGCAGCCCTGGGAGTCGAGGCCTTTCTCCGTGGGGATGGCCACCAGGTACTGCAGCAGGAAGCCGTTCTCCCGTGTGGCGAACTTCAGCACCTCCTGACAGTTTTCATCCAGACTCCCACCGAGTGTCACTGCCTCCTCAGCTGTCTCCAGGTAGGACGCCAGGACCCTGCGCACCAGGTCCCTCCACAGGGCGGCCTCCTCAGCGTTCCCGGCCTGCAGCTTCAGGACGGCCTTGGCGGTGATGATCTTGAAGAAGGATGGGCCCCCAAGGCTCGTGTCCGGCAGGATGTCTCGGATGGTCTCGACTCCATGGCTGTCACTTAACATCTTCTCATTGTTTCTCACGCGGAAGCACTTCAGAGACTCCAAGGACAGGGAGAAGATACAGGGCATCCAGGTCCGCTCCGTGTACAGGTACAGAAGGGATTCTTTAATAGCGTCAGGCTCGGGAACCTGGGAAGAAGACCAGTCAAACTGCGGGCCCTGGGGGGTTTCAGGCTCCGACAGCAGGTCCGAGTGGGAGGGGCGGCCACCCTGGGGGGCCTCTGGAGGGTCCTCGGGCTGGTCTGGGTACTGGATGGTCACCCACTCCTCCTCCTGCTGGGGCCGCCGGCACTTCTGCAGCGCCTCGCGCACACGGTCCAGCCAGTCCTCGGCTTCATCGCGGCATGAGGAGCGCAGGGTCAGCTTCTTGCCCGAGAAGACCAGCTCGAAGCGGCCGTCGCTGTGGGCCGGGCCCACGGACTCACAGCGCAGCAGAGAGCAGTTCTCCACGCAGGTGCGCTCCTCGCCGCTCAGGTAGAGGCGCAACTCCAGCGGGGAGAGCTCGCAGAAGAGTTCCTTCCAGATGCCCATGGCCCCCCGCCGCTCCACCGTGCCCAGCTTCAGGAGCCCCCGGAATGGGTTAGACAGCCCTGGAGGCAGAAAGAGGTGCTTTAGACGACGGGCCTGACCCTTCACCACCCAGGAGAACGTCCGGGGCCTGAGTCCTGTCCTGCGTGCAGACGACGTGACCACCAGGAGAACACAGGCCCGCCATGGGCCGGATGGGAACATTTTTTGAGAGCCTCCGTTCCATCCTCACCCCAGCTGTTGACCTTGTTCTTGAATTTCACCAAGAGAATAAAAGCACTCAAACAATCACCTCCACATGCCCCTCACTACCCCTCTCCCTTTCGGCATCTGCACCCACACTCTGACTGCCCCCATCGCCAGGGATGAGCTGACTATGCTTATGTCTGAGGCCAACCCTCCCATTTGTGCATCTGTGCAGGGGGTCCCACCCCCCACATACTCAAGGACAAGGACGTCCCTCCAGCAATCCTCCCTCCCTCTCCTGCGCTGCTGTTTCCTCCCTTCTCTACTGGATCATTCCCACCAGCCCACAAACACGCTGTTATTTCTCCCAGCTTTAAAAATAACCTCTTGACTCCACTCGCATCTCTCATTACCACCCTGTGTCTCTGTCCCCTTTACAGAAACCTCCCTGGGGAGGTGTGGGAACTGTCTCTAGTCCCCCTGCTCCCATTCCTGAACTGTCTCTAGTCCCCCTGCTCCCGTTCCTGCTTGAATCTATTCCAGGCAGCCTTCTGTCCCCTCATTCCACAGAACCTGCCCTTGGGAAGGCTACCAGGCCCTCCTTGTCGCCAAGTCCAAAGGCCAATCCTTGGTCCCCATCTGGCCTGGCCCATCAGCATCACTGGACACAGCTGAGCCCCCCTTCCCTTGGCTCTTCTCAGCCGTCACTGTCCCCGCTCTTGTGTCCCAGCCTCCCCCTCCTCTCGCTGGCCTCTCGATTCTGGAGGCCCCAGGCTCAGCCCTGGATTCTCTTCTCTACTGACACCAGCTTCCTAGCTGATCTCCCCTGGTCTCGGGGTTTGATGTCAACAACTCCCCAGTTTTTATCTCCAGCCTAGACCTTGCCCTTGAACTTTAGATTCTGATCTTCAACTGCTCTGTGTACATCTAATAGGCTTATCAAAGTTGACATGTCCCAGAATGAATTCCTGATTCTCCCACTCCAAACCCGCTTCTCTCCTGAAGTTCCTCATCTCATAAAATGACTAACTTCATCCTTTCAGCTACTTGGGCTAAACACCTTGGTGTTATCCTTGATTTTCTTTCTTTCACACCCCACACCTAATCCACCAGCCAATCCTCTGGGCATATCCAGAATCCTCCTCCACTTCATGCCGCCTGCACCACTATCTCAGGGGTTCAGTCCACCGTCATCCCTGGCCTGGCTTATGGCTGTGGCCTCCTAACTGGTCTATGTCCCCTTGTAGCCCTTCAACAAATGAGCCAGTACGACTCCCCCTTTCAAGAGACAAGTCAGATCACGTCTCTCTGCCCCAAACCCTGCAAAGCTGCTGTCTCCCTCAGAGCAAAAGCCAACGTCCTTTCTGTGGCCCACGAGACCCTCCGTCACTCTGACCTCATCTCTAACCACCCCCCTCCCCATCTCCTCTGTTCCAGCTACTCTGGTCTCCGCTCTTTTCCTGGACACGCCAAGTACGTTCCCATCGCAGGGCCTTTGCACATGTTCTCCCCGCTCGAAACACAAAGATCGTCTCGTGCTTTCCTCCTTCCCTCCCCGATTTACTATTCCCCACAGAAATTATTATTACCTACCCACAGTTTGTTTACTTGTTTATTTGCTTATTTCCTGCCTCTCACACTAGAATATAAGTCTCATGAAGATAAGGACTTTGCTTTGTTTCCTGCTGTGTTCCCAGCACCTAGAACAGTGCCTGGCACATCACAGATGCTCAGTAAGTATCTGCTGAGTGAGTGAGTGACTGCGTGTCTATGTACCACACACAGCCCAATGCTCCCTGCTCCCTGGGGGTCAACCATCCCCTGAACCAGGGGGTCCAAAGGACACACACGTCTCTCTCCCAGCCTGGACTGGACTAGCCTTAGAGATTTCAAACCATTGTGTAGGGTCTTCCCACCCTTCAGGGTACCTGATGATGCAGGCATAAAACACACCTTCTCTGGTACGGTTGCAACCATCACATGGGCTGAAAGAAAAACCTAAAAGGAGGCAGCATGGAGACCAGGGCTCTGCCCAGACTCCCTGAACCAGGGCCCCAGGAACCTGGCCAGAATTCTCTGCTGGGTCATTGCAAACAGAATGAGGAGAAAAAGAAACTGACTCTAGAGCACACGTGTTTGTTTGTTTCTGAGGGTTACAGAAAAATTAGGTTATGGTTATTTAATGCTTTCTGGAATTTCACAGGGTGTGGAGATCAAGGTGGCCTCACTGTAAACTGCACATAGAGGACACTGAACAAACAGCAGATCTAATAAACCCCATCAGAGCTGTTAAATAAACTAAGAGAAAGGCCTTGGGAAGGAGCAGTTGAAACACCTGGGCCTTTAAGAGGTGGGGGTTTGCTCTGGGCTACAGACAGAATCACGATGTCTATATACTCATAAGATTATCTTATGTATCTTATGTATAATCATAAGATTTATAGGAGAGCTTCAGGGAAGATATTTTCCATTTCAATATACGAAACAGTATTTGTGTACTCTATAGGCAGTTTTGAGCATTCCTTTATTAACATTTTATGAGAGGGACTTCCTTGGTGGTCCAGTGGGTAAGACTGCACTCCCAATACAGGGGGCCCAGGTTCGATCCCTGGTCGGGGAACTAGATCCTGCACACATGCCGCAACTAATAGTCTGCGTGCCACAACTAAGTGTCCCCATGCTGCAACTAAGAGTCCACGTGCCGCAACTAAGACCTGGCCCAGCATCCATGCATGCATGCATGCATGCATGAATGAATGAATGAATAAATAAATAAATAAATAAATAGGGCTTCCCTGGTGGTGCAGTGGTTAAGAATCTGCCTGCTAATGCAGGGGACACGGGTTCGAGCCCTGGTCCAAGAAGATCTCACATGCTGCGGAGCAACTAAGCCTGTGTGCCACAACTACTGAGCCTGCGTTCTAGAGCCTGCCAGCCACAACTACTGAAGCCCACGCGCCTAGAGCCCATGCTCCACAACAAGAGAAGCCACCGCAATGAGAAGCCCACAAGCAGCAACGAAGAACCAATGCAGCCATAAATGAATGAATGAATGAATGAATGAATAAATAAATAAAAGATTTTATGAGAAAAGATAGTACTCCTCCTGAAATGCTTTCCTGAATTACTCAGCAAGGGTGCTCCTTATTACGTTTTGGGATGAGGTTTTTCTTGGGAGAAGACACCGCCCAGTTGGTAATGGAAAAGGGGATTTTTGGACTGCTTTCTGAAAGGCACTGCCTGCGCACAGTGCAGCGCCCGCAAGCCTGCAGAGTCGCCTACCCATCTGCCTGCGATGCACCACCCTGAAGTTCTTATGCTCTGGTGTCGGGGCAGCCTTGCTTCTCCTGCTTCCTAGGGAAGGCACACAAGCTTTGTCTAAGGCCTCCATGGAACAGCTTCTTCTTGGTCCTTGTGTGAGGAGACCAGGCCTTGGCTCTGGAGTCCCTCTGGGAGAAGCCACGGAAGCATGGGAAGGACTCTCTGCGGGCTGTTCCCGGGGAGGCCGGTAGAAGTCATCTTCTGAGATCCAGCTCGTGCTTTTCTATTGGGAAAGAAGTAAAGACAGGTTGTTTTTAAAAACATCTTTATTGAGACATGATTCACATACCATAAAATCAATGCATTGAAAGCATGTAATTCAACAGTTTTCGTGTATTCACAGAGTTGTGCAACCATCACTACAATCTAAGTTTAGAACATTTTCACTGCTCCATAAGGAAACCTTGTACTCGTCAGCAGTCACTCCCTGTTTCCTCTCAACCCCTCCAGTTCTAGGCAACCAATAAACTACTTTCTGTTTCCAGAGATTTGGCCATTTTGGACATGCATAAACGAAATTTTATAACATGCAGTCTTTTGAAACTGGCTTCTTTTCCTTAGCATAATGTTTTCAGGGTTGATCTATGTTGTGGCATGTATCAGCACTTCATTCCTTTTTATTACCAAATAGTATTCCAACGTATGGATGTACCACATTTTGCATATCCACTCATCAGCTGATGGACGTTTGGGTTGTTTCCACTTTTTGGCAATTATGAGTAATGCTGCAGGGAACCTTGACATACAAGTTTTTCTGTGGACACTCGTCTTCTATTCCCTTGGTACATACCTAGGAGTGGAACTGATGGGTCATATGATGACTATGTTGAACTTCTGAAGAATTTCCAAACTGTTTTCCTAAGTGGCTGCACACTTTTACATTCCCACCAGCAACACATGAGAGTTCCAATTTCTCCACCACCTCTCCATCATTTGTTATTATCTGTATTTTTGATTATAGCCATCCCATATGGCTGTAATAAGAAATGCAATCTTATGGTTTTGATTTGCATTTCTCTAACATCTAATGACACTGAGCATCTTTCCATGTGCTTATTGGTCATTTGTATATTTCCTTTGGAGAAAAGTCTATTCAAATCCTTTACCCATTTTTAAATTGGTTTATTTGTCCTTTTGTTCTTGTGTTATGGGTTGAAATGTGCTCCACCCCCCAAAAAAGATATGTTGAAATCCTAAGCCTCAGTACCTCAGAATGTGACGTTAGGTGACAGAATGTGAAAACAGCGTTGCTGCAAATGCAGTTAGTTAAGATGAGGTCATACTGGGGTAGGGTGGGCTACCCCAGCGTGACTGATGTCCTTATAAGAGGAGAAAAGACACACAGAGAGAGAACACCACGCGAAGACAGAGACACAGAGGGAGGCCACCATGTGATGACGGAGGGAGGGCCTGGAGTGATGCGTCTACAAGCCAGAGAATGCCCAAGATTGCTGGAGACACTACACGTTAAGGGAAAGGCGTGGAACAGATTGTTCTTCAGAATCTCCAGAAGGAACCAATCCTGCCTGCATTTGGATTTGGACTTCTAGCCTTCAGAATATCAGATACAGTAGTTCCCCTTTATCTGTGGTTTCACTTTCTGCGGTTTCAGTTACCCACAGTCAATTGTGGTCCAAAAATATTAAGTGGAAAATTCCAGAAATAAACAATTCGCAAGTTTCACACTGCGTGCATTCTGAGCAGTGTGGTGAAATCTTGCACCACCCTTCTCCATCCTGCCTGGGCCGTGAATCATCCCTTTGTCCAGCGTATCTCACCCATTTGTCACTTACTTAGTAGCCCTCTTGGTTATCAGATCTCCTGTCATGGTATCACAGTGCTTGTGTTCACGGGACCCTTATTTTACTTAATAATGACCCCAAAGCACAAGACTAGTGATGCTGGCAATTCGGATTTCTTTAAAGTGCTTTCTTTAAGTGAAAAGGTGAAAGTTCGCAACTTAATACGGAAAGAAAGAAATTATATTCTGAGGTTGCTAAGATCTACGGTAAGAATGAATCTTCTGTGAGGCTGTGAAGAAGGAAAAGGAAATTTGTGCCAGCTTTGCTGTTGCACCTCAAACTGCAAAAGTTATGGCCACAGCATGTGATAAGTGCTTAAAGGCATTAAATTTGTACAATAAGATATTTTTTTGGGGGGGCCAGGCCACATTCACATAACTTTTATTACAGTATACTGTTATACTTGTTCTATTTTATTATTTATTGTTGTTAATCTTTTACTGTGCCTAATTTATAAATTAAACTTTATCATTGGTATGTATGTATAGGAAAAAATACACTATATATAGGGCTAGGTACTATCCATGGTTTCAGCATCCACTGGGGGTCTTGGAATGTATCCACTCAGATAAAGGGGAACTACTGTAATACATTTCTGTAGTTTCAAGCCATCCATTTTATGATCTTTTGTTATAGAAGCCCTAGGAAACAAATACAATTTACAATGTTTTTTTTTAATATTCTGGATACTAGGCCCTTGTCAGATACATGATTTGCAAATAATTTCTCCAATTCTGTGAGCTGTCTTTTTACTTTCTTGATGTTGTCCTTTAAGGCACAAAATTTTTAAATTTTGATGAAGTCCAATTTATCTATTTTTCCTTTTGTCTCTGTGCTTTTGGTATTGCACTTAAGAAACCATTGCCTAAGCCAAGGTTACAAAGACTTACTCCTATGTTTTCTGCAAAGAGTTTTACAGTTTTAGCTCTTACATTTAGGTCTACACTCAATTTTGAGTTAATTGGTTTTTAAAAATAATTAATTAATTAATTTTTGGCTGCGTTGGGTCTTCATTGCTGTGCACGGGCATTCTCTAGTTGCGGCGAGCGGTGGCTACTCTTTGTTGTGGTGTGCGGGCTTCTCGCTGCAGAGCACGGGCTCTAGGCACGTGGGCTTCAGTAGTTGTGGCACGCAGGCTCAGCACTTGTGGCTTGCGGGCTCTAGAGCACAGGCTCAGTAGTTGTGGCGCACAGGCTTAGTTGCTCCGTGGCATGTGGAATCTTCCTGGACCAGGGCTCAAATCCATGTCCCCTGCATTGGCAGGCGGATTCTTAACCATTGCACCACCAGAGAAGTCCTGAGTTAATTTTTGTGTAGGGCGTGAGGAAGGGATCCACCTTTATTCTTTTGCATGTGGATATCCAGTTGTCCCAGCACCATTTGTTGAAGGGATGTAGGGTTTTTCAGCACTGCTTGTAGGGTTTGAGATGAGGGAGGTGTGGGTGAGCAGGACCCAGAGACCTCACTAGCTCCCTCGGCCTCTGCTCCCCACTTCTGAACAGGCCCCTGCGGCTCCAGGCAGCCAGGCCCTAGCCCTCCCCTTCTGTTGCTGTCTCTCTGAGTCCGAAGTTGCTCACTGGATGAGGAAAGTGGGTGGGTCTGGGGTCAGGAGGCTTGTAGAAATGGACTCTGCCTCCTTTTCTTCACTATTTCAAGTGCTCCCTGCCTTTCCGTGCCTAAGTGTGGAAGAGCAGAGGTGAGGACGCTGGCTGGGCGCCTAAGTGGCTGTCTACACAGAGGAAATGAGTCACCTGAGGGGTGGGACAGCCCAGCTGTTTTGTTAAGTGCCACCGACCTCATCCTGATGTTGCTATTTCCACCCCCTAAATTAAGACTGCCCTCTCTGCTCCTGCAGACAGGGAATGGGGGAGCTGGGCTGGAGCTACCCAGAATGCCCGGAAGGATTGGTTTGGACAGTTTAATCCATTCAGATGCTGCCAAATTCCTTAAGCCGAGAGCGGCGAGTTCTGAGTCAGGAGCTTGGAGGTGGGCTGGGGGTGGGGGGGCTCACAGAGCTGGGCCTCCAGAGCTTCCTCCCCAAACCCTCAGATTGGCAGGTGCTTCCTTCTGCCAGTGACAGGACAACGTGTCAATCAGGGTGACTGCTAGGGACTATTTACAGCTCAGGATTCTGAACAAAGCCTGTCTAAGCCATCATGACCCAAGGGAACTCCCCAGGGAAAATGGGCTGGAGGAGCAATCACATGGCTGTCCAGGCAGCCTCCTGGAGCCTGGCACACACACCTGGGAAACCCTGCAACGCTGCAGCCCTGGATAATGGCCCTAATGGGAGAGACCACTCTTCCATTCAGACTGTCCTCTGGGAGTTAAACTGAGAAACCAACTCACGACCTTCTGGATGCCACAGAGTCACCCTAGTTTCCCCACTCCTGTCCTTCCCAGCACTTATCACAAGTGTAATTATGATGCAGATAGTTATTTGTCTAACATAGTGTCTGTCCCCAAGGAGCAGAGCCTTTGTCCTCTTCCATCGCTGTACCAAGTGTAGTGCTTGGCCCATAGCTGGGGCTTTTAATTAAATTAATTAAAAACAAATTTTTAAAGAAAGACTGAATGGCTCTCGGGATTATAAAACTTGATAGTGACTCCCTCCCCCCCATAAAGTGTCAGATAAATAGCAGTGACTAAATGACAGAAGCATAGAAAGATGAGAATCGCAGGGGCAGCACAGTGACTATCTCCTGAGAAGGGAATCGACGGACCCACAGCTCCCCTCTAGAGACAAACTCTGGGAGGGGCGAGCATCTGAGGTTCTCACGCTGAACTTGGCACCCGGTGCTTCGATTCCACGGTCCCCAAGCAACCCTGCAGCAACCAGACTCCCCTGATGCCGGCCAGGAGGCGGAGGGTGACCTGGTCAGACCAACCTGCCTGCCCCAGGCACCTGGTGGAGCACTTCTCAGTGTAAACTTACAAGCTGGCATCTCGGGAGTCTCTGAACAATTTGAGAACTATTCACTGATACCTATGCTTTCCCAGGTACAGTGCTCAGAACTGACAATATAGAAGTGAACGTGGGACTTCCCTGGTGGCGCAGTGGTTAAGACTCCACGCTCCCAATGCAGGGGCCCCGGGTTCGATCCCTGGTTGGGGAACTAGATCCCACATGCATGCCGCAACTAAGAGTTTGCATGCCACAACTAAGGATCTGGCAAGCCACAACTAAGGAGCCCGCCTGCCACAACTAAGACCCGGTGCAACCAAATAAGTAAATAAAATAAATATTAAAAAAAACAAGTGAACAGACGTGGTCTTTTGTATCATGGAGCTAATATCCTGGACAGAAATACAGGAAATAAACACGTAGACAATGAAAGCGATAACAGAATCTAACCTAGTGATGAGTGTCATAAAATGAAGCAGGTAAATGGGAAAGACAGTCATTGGGGATGGTACTTTT